TGATGCGTTAATATCACTGAGACTGCTAACTTCGCGAGAGCGTAATTCCATAAGTTTTCCATCAAATTTCGTACTTTTGGTGTCATTACCATCAGGAAAAAATTCTCTATCATTTCATATGATTTTTTTTTTTTTTTTGAAAATTCTTCAACATTGAGAGCAATTTTGTGAGCAGGTGGTCTCAACAGTGAAAGGGTTAATATCGATGTGTGACCATGTGAGCCTTTAGGGTATCTTTCCTGGAGGAGCGGTAGGAGCACATAGTACACATGTAAGGCTTTTCACCAGTGTGAGTACGGATGTGTTTCTGGAGGTTGTCTTTTGTTGCAGAGCTGAATGTACAATGTGGGCAAGAAAATGGTCTCTCTCCAGTATGAGTGCGAATGTGATTTCTCATGCTGGTGGTTGCGTATGTGGAGTAGGTACAATTTGGACACTTGTGAGTCTTGCAGACATTTGGGTTATTTCCAGTTCTTGTGGCTGCACTTCCTCCAATCCTCTGCCAAGCACTGTCCAGCCCCACCTGTTGGGAATGTTCATCTTACTCTTTGGCAGCCCTCAAAATACTGACGAAAAAATTATGAAATTTAAAACATAATCGCTAAACTGCAATGTCGTACCTCAATGTTTATACATTATACTTTGAAGATAGCAAAACAAGTTTGAAACAACTCAGAAATCTATTAAAAAATAAATAGTAGAGGAAACCTTTAACCTTATCACTATCGTGACCCATAAAATTAAAATCAAGTCGGTGCTGTGATTTAAAGAAAAACTTTAAATTCATAGAGAAGCTTTTCCTACAGCTAGTCGCACCAAAAATGCAAAATTTGAAGTAAAGCTTATTGGCATTATGCAGGCATGAGGAAGGAAGACAGGGAGCGCTGTATGCAATGTGATTTTGTTCACTTTAAGGCCTATTTTATGCCAAGTCCATTGTTCAAACCGATGCAATTCCTATTATGTCTTTCATATTATCCCTTGAGTGCAAACAAATGCCCAATCAACTATCAGAACTACCCTAGGAAAACCTAGAATCAGTAATTTGGTCAGTTTACATCTAATTCAACAAAGTCTGCCCGAAAATGCCCCGGCATGATAGTGGCTTTCTTTCTACTTAACATATCAAAATTGTAATTGCACGTTGTAAACATTGCAAAGAAATAAATAAATATTTAAATTTCTTATAAATCTTTAAAATCCAATTTAAAAACAGAGTCCAAAATAAACACTGTAGGCATTCCACCACTAAACCAACCTTCCCTCTGTCCATTAATCATGCCCTCAGGCCTCTTGCTACATATTGCTTTCGCTTCCCGGAATGCAAGTGGGAGAGATACATGATTATATACACTTGGAAAATCCTAGAGGGATTAGTACAAAATCTGCACACAAAAATCACTCCCTATGAAAGCAAAAGACTATGCAGACGATGCAACATCTCCCCCCAACAAAAAGCAGGGGCACCACTAGCTCGATAAGAGACAATACATTAAGTGTCGGGGGCCCAAGACTGTTCAACTGCCTGCCAGCATACATAAGGGAGATTACCAATAGACCCCTGGCTGTCTTCAAGAAGGCTTTGGACAGGTACCTAAAGTCAGCACCTGATCAGCCGGGCTGTGGTTTGTACGTCAGTTTATGTGCAGCGAACAGTAACAACCTGGTTGATCAGGCCCTGATCCACCATGAAGCCTGGTCACACACCAGGCCACAGGGGCATTGATCCCTGAAACCCTCTCCAGGTATACTCCAGGTATACACAGGAAAATACAAGTTTAACCAATTTTTTGGCTAATACAGGAGGCCCTCTGCATTCGCGAGGGTTAGGGGATCAAGAACCTAATGAATCTTGAGTAATAGCATTACTACTTAGCCTAACAATACTGCTTCCTCAACCTCTTGAACTACGAATAATCATAAAACACATGAAAACATCGTAAAATATTGTATATACATGTTATGACAGGGTGGCTGGACATTTGCAAATGTTCGAAGCTTGCGAAAATGGAACTTGTGGATGTAGAGGGCTGCCTATAAAACATAACCAAGAATGCTTGTTCATGGTTTAGGCCAGCTCAATAATTGCAACAGACCTAGTAAAAACCCATGAAACAGACCTAAGGGAGGCCTACCCGTTCCCAGGAAAAAGTAAAAAAACAAATATTTCTGCCACTGTGAAGCCTATTTCCATTTCTGGTCTGAAACCATCCAAAACCTCTGTTTCACTAGTCAGTCTTCTGGTTTATCAATTGATACCATGAAACTGCCAATAAAACTATAAAAAAAACACACAAGAAAAATCCTCAAAGTTGCTATTTTAATCCAAACACAAGGTTAGAAGTTAGCTGTTCCCATCCTAAAACTGCATGGGGCTGATTTTTTTTATTTTTTAATGTGCACACCTACTGCACAAACCATTTTCTCATGTCTAGGCCAAAAAATCATTTAACACATTTCAGGGTCCGTCCGTAGATCTACCCCTTTACGTTCTTGGGTCCAAGTAGATCTACGCTTTCATGAGCTCAGTCCTCTGATAAATGATGAGTGGTACATTTTGTGGCCTAGATATGAGAGAATACATCTATGTGGTAGTGTGTGCACCACTAAAAAACAGATCCTGCAGCACACTGTGTATAATGAGAGAAAAAATAATTTTAATATCATGATTTTCTGATTAAAAACAGCAAACGTTGCAGTGTTTTCTTCGTATGTTTTTTATAGTGTATTTGCGATTTTCTTGGTTCAATTTTTGATTAGAATGGAAGACATCATTACAGAAATAGAGATGATTTTTGTGTTTTTTAGCAGAAATGGCTTGGAAACTGAGCAAAGTAGCAGATATTGTTAAATTTTTTGCGATATTCAAATTAAAACGTCTCACACGTCTACATACACGTACTGGGTGGTCTAATATACATTCACAAATATAGTGATGTATTTATACAATTATTCAGTATGATAACAGTAAATCTTCTTTTTTTGGTGTGGAACTAAAATTCATTATGTGAATAAACAAATAAATGGAATTTATTGTAAAGCTCAAAAACATAAACTAAAGAAACAAAGGAAATGTTAGTTTAGTGCCAGGATGCCTACATTTTCATCTGGAAACTATTTGAAATTGGAATATTGAACATTTGTGTTAAATTGGCCAAAATTAACAATTTCCGATACTTTATGTTGTAGTTGAAACAGTTGAGTTGGCGATTTCCTTGTGTTCACATATGACAATAAGAAGTTAATATAGTGAAATAGCTAAGAATTTGTTGATTGGATATATGTTATTGGCCTAAAATGGGATGTCAAATTCGGCAAAATAAACGAGCCGATTCGTAAAATCGCTGACACATCAAAATTTGCAAAAGCAATTTCGCCAATTTTCCACCAAATTTTGTATTTTTGTTTTATTTCCCTTCAAAAAGTTTTCCCACGTTTCATAAAAAAATAACAAAAATTTTTTTTTTGAAATTCTTGGCATGGTGCGTGACTCCCGATTTTGGGCCCGGACCCCGAAAGGGTTAATGGTGAAAACAACAATCCTTTAGTGCCCTTTGTAAAAACCTCTCATCCCCTTTAAAAATTTACCTTATCCATTTTTGTAGTTTCCCGATTACCTTTTTATGGAAACTTTAAAGTTTTCCCCTCTAAAAATAGAATGAGACCCGACTTTTTATGCAAGCAAAATATTACAGAATGCTTAAGTGATGTTGCAGCGAAAGTCGTGTGTGTCTGAGCGTTAAAACGGTGGAGAAAGGGAGGATGTTTCACACAAAATGAAGATGAAATTTTAAATTTTAAAATTTTTAAGCCTTACCATGATTTATCTTTTTAAAATATCCCGTGAAAAAATAGGATTATGCGATACTGTAACCCACATATGGGGCAAATTCAGGTTTTTGGGTCTACACTGCAGATGAGACGCATTATTCTTGGGTAAAACCAAGGGGAGGGTTTTTTCATGTGCTAAATTTCAGTTTGGCACAAAAAAAAGGTGCAAGTTCTTCCGATGTTGCAAGACTGATTGGCAATTTTTTTGTTCTCTGGTTACCAAAATATGGTTACAGACAGTACTTTTGTTCCTACTTTTTACGCAAATTAATTTTACTTCCCTGATCTAGCCATGAAAAATAATTTGGGTGTGAAAAACTCTACTATATATACTACTCAAATCTGTGAGAAAATTTGTTTAAATGAAAAAAACCCGGAGGGATGAAAATTTCAAAAGAAATTAATATTAAATATGCACTTAGTTCATTTTAGAGCCTGGAATTTTTTTCAAGCTTCCCGTTTGAGGAAAACATGGCCAAATTAAAATTTCTGCTGTGTTTCTAAGTGATGAAACCACACTTGAGTCTAAAAAAGTTTCCATGCAACAAAGCTGAATTTTAAGTTGATGAAATGTGTCAAAGGGTTTTATGACAGTATTTATAACATAGTGAAGAAAAAGTCTAATGGACTAGTCTGACATTAATGCTCATGTGTAACAAACACTCATTGGCTCAGAAATTATTGATATCATGAACCCAAATCCTGTAGACGAATGAATGTGATGAACATTATGAGAAACCAACTCATTAAAGACATAATGACAATAACCAAGTTCAAATTCATTATAAAACAACTATTCTTTACCCAGCAGGAAATTGTTCACATGCACTGGCTACAGTATAGTTTCATCAGAGACCAAATTGTGTAAAGTAGATCAAACTAATCTGATTATTTAAAAAAAGCTTTGTGATTGCCTCTGGCAGTCCTTTAACAAATGCATATCAATGAAAATGGAACATTTAGTGGAATCAGCTAAGCAGCCTGATTCTCCGCTTCTTTCCTTTGGAAGATCCTGGTAATTTACAGTGTGCTCTGCGTGTATTAATATCTGCTCCATTCAGTTCATGTGTCCTCTCCTCTTCCCATACCTCTTAATTTAAGCTTAACACCTTAACTGTGGTATACTCTGAAATTAAATTCTGTGTGTGTGTGGGGGGGGGGGGGGCAAGATTTAAAGGAAAAAAAATCCTACAGATTGAAAGAGTGCATTTTTGTGTAAAACTAAGATGAGTGGAATTTGATAAAAAAAATCGTGATTTTATGGTGTGCTGAAGTTAGTGAAAACATAAATTCTTGCTGGAAACATCAGTATAAATGTACCAGGTACATCTCCATTTTACAATTTATTGATGCCAAATTATTCAAATTCAAATTCAAACTTTATTCTCTATAAGTATTACAATGATTTTTTTTCCATTTTTTTAATTGTTTTAAATGTTCAACACTATGTATACTAGTTTCTTATGATATAAGATGTACTTCCAACAAGGGGAAATGCTTAGCCTAACATTGCTCCACTTGGAATATACAATATAAATTGGGACAAGTAATTGTTTTTTATTCTATTTTATTAGTTGTTTTGGTCCTCACCAACACTGTGTACAAGGAATACTTATGATATTACAATTGTTTCAAGGTGATACTTATCAAAACATGGACATAAGTCATACTGTTTGACTATATTGAGTTATCCTAGCTTAAATCTCAATAATGTGCTTTTTGGATGAATTCCTTTGTTAGTACTGTATCATGAAATTGTAATAAATCTGGAATGAATAAGGCATCTTCCTACCAATTCCACACCTTGTTTACTGGAAGGGAAACTGGCGGTGGTGCAACAGGTCCTGGTTTCACTGTTTACTTATGCTAGTCAGGCTATGCTAACCGTGATACAGTGCTTGAGCCCATCTGGTTTTAGATTTTTTTTTCAAAGGCATGAAGAGGTTGAAGAACCAAACAGTTAGTGCTAAGGTCAAAAATATTAGCAGATTGTGGTTTAGAAGCCACAAAAAATTGTGCCTAATACAATGGACACAGTCATCACTTGAATACTAGTAAGTCAGACACAAAATCATCACTTGCATACTAGTACATTGGACACAAAGTCATCACTTGCATACTAGTATGTCGGACACAAAGTCATCACTTGCATACTAGTACATTGGACATAAAATCATCACTTGCATACTAGTACATTGGACACAAAAGTCATCACTTACGTACTAGTACATTGGACACAAAGTCATCACTTGCATACTAGTATGTTGGACATAAAATCATCACTAGCACACTAGTATGTCAGACACAAAGTTATCACTTGTATACAAGTTTATCAGACACATCATCACTTGCATACTAGTAAACTGGACACAGTTAAATCCACAACACCTTTCTGTAACTTTGTTTGGAAGATATATAGAGTATTTTCTGATAAGTAGGTATATTTATTTTGAACTCAAACCTGGCATAACATATCTGAAGGTGTAGAAACCCAGCCTTCAACATATACAGGTATTGTAACACTAATGTCTGCAAACCAAACTTGCAAATACAAACATATAAATGTATGAAATCAGTTATACAAGGAAAAATATTAATTTTTTTAACTGTTTGAAAAAATACTGATTATTTTCCTGGCTACTGTAAACTTCAAGTATGTATTCATAAAATAGGGTTTTCAAAATTCATGTGAACCATTATACAGCAGTTCAAAAATGAACAATAATAAACTAACCTTTGTTTAATGTTCGTAGAACATATCATTATCAAAAAGCAACATATGAAACTCTTTCATGTGCACATAAGCTGATTTTACTGGAAATTGCAAAAAACATCTCAAGTGCAATATCTACCCTAACAACTATCTGGTTTTAAAAAAATATGAATGGAAACAATGCATTACACATACAAGTATATAAAAAATTAAGCCATACACAGAAATAAGCTTTAAAATATTATTTTACAAATGAAAACTAAATAAACCTATCTTAAATCTGATGGGTTAACATGTGGTTTTTCAGAGAGTCCTTTCTTGAAGATCTGTATGGACAAATGGTACATTCGTAAGGTTTCTCTCCTGTGTGGGTCCGAATGTGTGTTTTTAAACGGTCTTTTGTAGCAAAACCAAACGTACAAAAGGGGCACGAATATGGTTTTTCGCCAGTGTGTCGGTGCAAGTGATTCTTCAAATTAGTAGTAACATTTGAGGAGTAGTCGCAGTAGGGGCAGTGATGCATCTTCATGGGAGTACTGTGGCCCCGTCCAACGCCTCCTCCTCTTCTTCCAAGCCACACATGGTCTCTCTCCAGCCTCACCTGTTGAGGACGCCCTATCTTACTCAGGGTTATCAAAAGTCTCATTACAATCATATTTACATTTATATTTGCTGAAATGAAACTAAGCTGAGAGAAGTACTGACAAGGAGCACGAGTCTTGAGTACTGTCTTCAAATATTTAGCATGCATGTCTTATTAACAGCAGTATAAAGAATGAGGTACTGAAAATATAAGTCATTAAACATTAACTTCTTATACATATTGACATGTAATATGTTAAGAATAGTATTTTGCTTTAATGTACATTTATAATTCTAAAAGGAACCTTTTAATTTAAAATATTATACAGTAGTGTTTAAACATTAGAATATCAGTTTATGGAGTGAATAGAATCGCTTTCAGAATTGCTTTAAAGCCTTTCCATAAATTTTAATTTAAACTGTGAAAACATATAATTCTGGTTATAAAACTGATAAATGTATATTCTGCATAAACCATTTCTTCAAAATAACCATATTTAAAGATCTTAGAAACTGTTATGAAAATGTATCCTCACAATTTAGAAATGAAACATCCAAGTATACTCTGCAAGCAGTGACATATCATGTTTTTCATAAAAGTATTTTCACATCACAGAAGTTACCTTGTGCTCGGATAATAATATAACATTCATGAAGAAGTGCTAACTGCATAACGGATCATAATGCACCCTAGGAGGAGTTAATCAGGATTGATTCAAGGAAGAGAACAGCTCCAATTATTCTGATGAAGAGTCCTTCACCCAGTAACAAGATATCCCCAGTTAACAAATGCCCCTAGTTACGAACATCTGCACTAACAATGGTACACTTAGAACCTAATTCATTTTTTTTTTACAGTCACAAATATGCAGTATAGGCCTGTGTGAAACACAAACAGTCTTTGTTTTCCATTAAACTGTTTGTAAGTTGAAACACCAGAAATACAACCTTTTATAAGCTTAAATGAGAGGAATTCAACTTGTTTGTAAGCTGAAACACACACAATGCAATTTATTTGTAAACTGAACCATCATACAAGCAACTTATTTGTAAGCTAAAATACCAAAAATGCAATTGTTTTCAAGTTAAAACACCAGGAAAGTAACCTGTTAATAAACTGAAATACAAGAATGCAACTTATCGGTATGGTGAAACACCATACCAGGAATTCAATTTGCTTGTAAACTGCAAATCTCTTATACCCTAGGAATGTGAATTAATATTAAAGTCTACTTAACAGCTAAAGCAGCTACCAATTGTATTCTAAACCATATTTCACTACCACAACTTCCAATAGTGTTTTATGTAATAGTTTACAGATCTTAAGGATGGTGAACCCTCAAGAGAGGTTCCTTGATGCTGGTGAGGGGCTCTTGATCTAGGGAATTGGATCTGTGCTCCCATTCCCTGAATTGAGCTTGAATACCTTCCATCCCCCCCCCAAGTGCACTGTATAATCCTATGGGTTTAGCACTCCCCCATTATAATAATAATAATAATAATAATGATGGTGAATGATCATTGAAATTTAGAGCTCTAATAAATGACCTTAGAAGAGAACTCAGTCTTTTCTGTTACTTAACTTTCTGAATAAAAGAGAAAATTCTGATATCAAGATTTATTTGGAAAAAAATCTTAAATTATAGAGAATTTCTTAATTAAAATCCAAAATTTTCTCCCTCATCTGTAAAGTGTTTATCAAAGATTGTTTTGAATTAAAAATTTTATTTTGTTAAATTTGGAAGAATTCTGAGCATGAAAAATGACAAAGATTTTACCACACAGTATTACACTTATTGCTTATAGTTGTGTGTACAAAATTTGAAGGGTTTTAGACTACAGTGGACCCTCGAATTTAGTAGTGCCTTTCTGTATGCAAAACTATTTTTATTATCTATAAAATGTTACTGAAAGCAGTGAAGAGTTTTTACGAGGATAGTGAGGCTCAAGTTAGAGTATGTAGGAAAGAGGGAAATTTTTTCCCAGTAAAAGTAGGCCTTAGACAAGGATGTGTGATGTCACCGTGGTTGTTTAATATATTTATAGATGGGGTTGTAAGAGAAGTAAATGCGAGGGTCTTGGCAAGAGGCGTGGAGTTAAAAGATAAAGAATCACACACAAAGTGGGAGTTGTCACAGCTGCTCTTTGCTGATGACACTGTGCTCTTGGGAGATTCTGAAGAGAAGTTGCAGAGATTGGTGGATGAATTTGGTAGGTGTGCAAAAAGAAGAAAATTAAAGGTGAATACAGGAAAGAGTAAGGTTATGAGGATAACAAAAAGATTAGGTGATGAAAGATTGAATATCAATTGGAGGGAGAGAGTATGGAGGAGGTGAATGTATTCAGATATTTGGGAGTGGACGTGTCAGCGGATGGGTCGATGAAAGATGAGGTGAATCATAGAAATGATGAGGGGAAAAGAGTGAGTGGTGCACTTAGGAGTCTGTGGAGACAAAGAACTTTGTCCTTGGAGGCAAAGAGGGGAATGTATGAGAGTATAGTTTTACCAACGCTCTTATATGGGTGTGAAGCATGGGTGATGAATGTTGCAGCGAGGAGAAGGCTGGAGGCAGTGGAGATGTCATGTCTGAGGGCAATGTGTGATGTGAATATAATGCAGAGAATTCGTAGTTTGGAAGTTAGGAGGAGGTGCGGGATTACCAAAACTGTTGTCCAGAGGGCTGAGGAAGGGTTGTTGAGGTGGTTCGGACATGTAGAGAGAATGGAGCGAAACAGAATGACTTCAAGAGTGTATCAGTCTGTAGTGGAAGGAAGGCGGGGTAGGGGTCGCCTAGGAAAGGTTGGAGAGGGGGGTAAAGGAGGTTTGTGTGCGAGGGGCTTGGACTTCCAGCAGGCATGCGTGAAGCGTGTTTGATAGGAGTGAATGGAGACAAATGGTTTTTAATACTTGACGTGCTGTTGGAGTGTGAGCAAAGTAACATTTATGAAGGGGTTTTAGGGAAACCCCGGGAGGCCGGACTTGAGTCCTGGAGATGGGAGGTGCAGTGCCTGCACTCTGAAGGAGGGGTGTTAATGTTGCAGTTTAAAAACTGTAGTGTAAAGCACCCTTCTGGCAAGACAGTGATGGAGTGAATGATGGTGAAAGTTTTTCTTTTTCGGGCCACCCTGCCTTGGTGGGAATCGGCCAGTGTGATAATAATAAAATAATAAAATAAAATGTATTGTTTGTTAATTTTTGGGTGTCTGGAATGGTTTAATTGGATTTACATTATTTCCTATGGGAAATATTAACAAAACATACATTTTATAGATAATAAAAAAAGTTTTGCATACAGAAAAGCCACTACTAAATTCGAGGTCCACTGTATTGTCAAGATGACCACAAGAAAGAACATGCTACAAGAACTTGAAAAGGTCTGAAAACTGATGTTAATCTTCAACTGAATGGAGTACTGTAGACAAACTAGCTGATCAATATCTAAACTTTTTTACAAAACATTTAGAAATAAATATAGTACCTATAAACAACTGAGATCCATAACTGTCAAGGCTCTCAGTTCCTTAATATACCCATAGATCAGCCCATTTGTTTTTGTTTCCAGAGTTTAAAAAAAAATCTTCTCTTTAGCTTCAGCAATGACTTGGTTTTACAGCATACAGCTTTTGTCAGTTAAATACTCTGGATTCCCTCTAAAACCACAAAGACAAAATGTCATACCTTGCTCTTTAGGACATCCTTCAACCAACTAGGAAGTGATTAACACACATTTTTCAAAGTTTCATGGAGAAATTCCCCCACGTCTCACGGATGGTATCCTAAAGCCATGGGAGCGGGCTGATATCCTTTCCCCTAGTAAACCTCTGTCACAGCCCGGAGGTTATGAATGGGATTCAAATCTGGGGAATATCCTGGCCAGGCACAAAGCAACTGAAACACCAAATTTTGCAGTGTGGCAAGGAGCACTGTCTTGCATAAAACCTTGCACTACACTTTGTTAAAGATTCAGGCAAAGGATAACAGAGTAATTCTTGGTACAATAATGTTAGTGGAAATGTTTTTCAAGGCTTCCTTGGATGTGCTTTTGGTGTGGGCATGTAATCAACACTGTCCTCAAGGAACCAACACAACCAGATCTTCACTGGATGCTCACACACATTGGTAGATTCTACTATTAACTTCACTTGAAGGCCTGCCTTATTGTAATCCTATGATTTTTGCGACTGTCTCTTGTTTCAACAACTTAGTCATGCCCACACTAATTCATCAATAACCAAAAATGTCTGACAAACTCAACCCTCAAGACCACATAGCACAGGGGTACTATGGACACAATATTGTCCACCACACAAGCTTAGAAGGTACTTAAGATGCAGCCAGTAGATTTTAAAGAATCCAGAGACATCCCGCATGAAGTTGGAAGGCCAGCATAAATTTTTGTCTCGTCGACAAACCTACCAGGGTGGGGTGTTACTTTGAACATTAATGATGAGTGCTGTATATCTTTGATAACAATAAGTAATAGGTTAAGTCATGCCAGAAATGCTGAGAATAATATGTATTTTGTAAAATATATCCATGTACAATAGGCATCATAAATATGCCTGCACATAAGTATGCTTTTAGCAAACTATTTGCCTGACAGTTTTGAGAAGTACCAGGGCAACTTTTGTATGAAAGACTGCTCCTTGCCATACTTCCAAAAACATAAAGACAAACTAAATGATCATGAAATTCCATACTTGAAAGAATGTCCTAGTAAATCACCAGACTTAGATCCAGTAGAGAACATTTGCAACCTTATTAAATGTAAGTATCATGGAATGGACGTGTCCTCTAACCCCAAAATCTCGAGTGCCATTAAGCCTATGTGGGAGGGTATTGACTCTGATCCTTCATAAGTAAGCCTGATCAGTGCCTAGAAAATTTGAGTGCATCAAGAGGAAGGGCAATAATATGAAATATTAGTTTAGATGAGGAACCCATAAATATTTCAGTATTTAATTTCAATAAGAATAGTTTATGGTAAGTGTTCTCATTACCTGTGTGATCTGACACCTATTATACATTAGGCCTACATCTGCCTCTTGCCTGTGTCTGTAATTATTTTTGTGAATAATTTTTTATATTTATACTTAGATTCAAAAGATTTTTTAAAGTGCTGTAACATTAAAATATTTTGACAGTTATGAATATTTATATAATTAAAATGTTTTAATTCAGGTTTTTACCTAAATTTCTAGGGTTTTCTGTTTGTCTACCAGTTGTTAAAATATTAATACTGTACCATATAACACTAGTAATTTTTAACAGTGTTGTTCAAAAATAAACACGGACAGAATGCAGTCGTGAATAAAAGGCACAAGTGCAAAACAACCTTTTATTGTGGCAATGTTTTACTCTGTGTCAAGTTTTATCAAGTTAATGGTTTGACTTGATAAGCTTAACACGGAGAGAAACTTTGTCACAATAAATGCTTGCTCTTTTCTTCATTACTGTTAGCAACGCATTGCTGCTTTATACTAAATGCAGTTGCCTGGGAACATTATATAATCTAATATTACTGTTATTGTGATAGGTGAATAATGTATATTCAGCAATGATAGTAAATTAATATTTATTGAAATATGCTTTTATGTTTTTTGCATTTATTTTTATGATTGCAAAATGAACATCTGAACATCAAGTGTTCATCCACCTGTTCATCAAATAAAGAACTACCTGATCACACCCTAATTTTAGTGTTTGGTTTACCTTAGTTTTCTTTTTAGGAGTTCATCTTTTCAGACAAATAATCTGATACCCAACCTCAACTCATTAATGATGCCTCACCCTAGCTGTGTCATATTACACCTAAATACTGTACCTATTTACTGCTAGGTGAAACAGGAACACTGGGTGTTAGAGATTTATCAAGGTTTTGAAATTATCGAGCTTCTAATGTAAATGTACTATACACTATCTCAAAGTATCAATGTGCAAATAATTTGAAAAAATAATTGATATTCTTCCTAATCATCGGGCCTTGCACTATTGATTGGTAACTTTTCTTTTCCTATGGCCTCCTTTTCATTAAAAATACAAAATACCCCACATCATTGTAATAATACTTTGTCAGAGTACAAACCAGCTACGATGCCAGAAAAGCATTTTGTGAATATCTTTTAACAATAGATCATGCTCTTAAAACTGTAAACTAAATATTAATGGAGGTTTACCTTCAATAAACTAACCTTAATTTATTGAAGTTTTTGTTTATTATAAGAGGGTCTGAGACTACAAGAGGAATATTATTTGGCATTTGTCATAATTTTCATATAATATACATACCTACATCTGTTGTAAATAAATATAAACACAAAACTGTATTCTTAATGATTATCTTGTATGTGCAGTGGCCACATTTGGAATGCATGATGAGTTGATATATGACTCTTTAAGGAAACATTCGAGAGGATCGATATGGGCAATGTGGACACAGGTATGGTTTTTCTCCAGTGTGAATTCGAATATGGGACTCTAAATTGCCCTTCCTTGAACACCTATTAAGAACAATGAGGACAGGCAAATGGTTTCTCTCCAGTATGAGTATAAATATGCCTTTTCAAATTATTTAAGTTTCTTGAGAATAGTCACAGGTGGGACACTTGTGCATCTGTAGGTTTACTGAGGCAGGGGCCAGGAATCCTTGGGTGCCCCCCAC